CCAAGATGGTAGTCACAATAAACATTATTATATTTTTTAATTCCCATAATACCCCTAAAAAGTTATTTGAGGTGGTATTTTAATTATAAAAATAAAAGAATAGTTAGATTAACTATTACTTTTTAATAATATTTCATGTGTATATATAAACTTCTATTCCCCTAATACCCCCTAAAAGTGTCGTTTTGAAGTGGTATTCAATTTAACATAAATAAATAAAATAATTAGACAAAAGAACATTATTTTCTAACAAAAGTATATCAAGTTTTAACTAATTCTAAGACTGCAGATTTGCCGCATATCTTCTATTTAACTTTTTAAATTTACTCTTATAATTAGTTCATAACAATAAAAATGAAATAATTTTGAAACATCATTAATAAAATGAGAAAATAATTCATTAAAATAGTAGAAAAATAAATAAATAAGCGCTAACCTAACCTTCGTGTATACCAAGGAAGAAGAAAAAATTACACAACTTATATAGCCTACAAAATATATAGCCGAAATTATTACTAACAATTTAAAACAATTTCAATATAATTCTCAAACAAATTTTATCAAAAAATATATAATTCTCAAACAAAAAAAATCGACGAAACAGGTTTAGTTGAACCTCCTTGATCCGATGTAGGTCCGCCCCTGCCTCTATCCTTCCTCAGACCCGCAATGGTTACTCTCACACCTCCTAACCGGGGCATCTATATCTGGCCTCTTCATGTCTTCAAAACTATTTTCAAAAAAAAAAATATTAAAACAATATAATTCTTGAAAAGAAAATACTTCTAGCATTAGGAATTGGCATATTGCATTAGTATATGTATTTCGATTATAAATACAGTTTGCTTACGACATTTGAAGTCTCATTACTCATCAATGTTTGCATTACTTGATTTGATTGGTTATTTTCCCCTTGTGATTCATAAATTTAAGTGGTCTGTAATTCAATATAAATAATTCATCATGTTTTTCTTTTTTAATGTGACACTAGTTATTTACTAAGGCCTCTTTTGTTTGCACTTAATGGAGGTTTGAATCTTAATCATTCACATCTCAGACATTAAATGCGTTAATTTTTAAAGTCTGAATCTTAATTACCTAGATCTTAATCATTAAGTGTGTTTGTTTTTTTTTACTTCACAATCATTTAATGTGTCTTAATTGGCTTGTATGATTAAGATCTATAACAGAGACTAATTTCATTAAGATGCTATCACATATTCATTATTAACTACCGCCACAGCCACCACCTACCATTATCAACTACCACCGTCCCACCACCACCACCACGCCATCATAATCCTCAATCATAGCAGCCAGCATTATCGACCATCACCACCCACTATCTCCACCACTCCGACCATCATATAGCATTCTCACCCACAATCAACACTCTTCCACCTCAACTACCACAACTGACTACTCCATCGCCATCAACAACTACATCCGGAACTGCCTATCATTATAACCTACCACCACCCACCCACCACCTTCCTCAGTCACAACTACTACCACCACCCGCCATTATTAACTATCATCATCCACAACCACCATCCGCAATCATAATTGCCACCACTACCAATCACTACTAGCTACTACCATGAACCACCATCATCAACCAAAACTGCCACAAACCACCGCCTCTAGTCGACATTCACCCGTTAGCCATCACCGCCAACATTTATCATATTTTAAAAAAATTATATATTTTATTGATAGAATATTGGATTAGTTAGTATTTCATTTGGATTTTATATTTATTAATTTTCAAATAAAGATAAATTTTATACATTCAGATGTTAAAATCAAACAGTTTTAATTATTTTTATTCAGATCTTAATACACATCTTAATATATTCATATGATCATGGACCCAATTCAATTCAGTGGGATCCTTCATTCACATTTTTTCCACAAAGAACGTTATCCAGATTCAGATGTCTTAATCTTAATACACATCTTGATATTCAGATGTGTATTCAGATTCAGACGTCTTAATCTATACTATATTAAAAGCACGAGGCCCTTAGTGAAATGTCGTTCGCTTTTTTACCCTTTAAAAATAGAGTACACACTAGACAAAATTGTCATTTAACTATTTTCCTAATATGTAGGACTTCAAAATCACCAAAATTTTCTTTATTATCTTTTTCCTTATTTAACTACATAATACCATATTTGTAATTAAAAAAAAAAAAAAAACATACATACTAGCAAAATCAAGGTAGAAACTAGCGTGTACTTTGAACTCCTATAAGGTTTAGGCGTGTTGTCTTTGTATATAATTATTTCCGGTTAATTCTTTAAAAAATTTAATTTTTTAGTAAAATAAAAGAAAATTAATTGAAAGAGAATAAGTAGAAAGCAAATAAAGTCTTGTGCAATTAGAACTCCTTATTCTTTCTTTTTCTTAAATGTAAGATGTTACTCTTGTAGTGTGAATGCTTCAAAGTTTTTATCACTATCCACTTTACAACAAATAACTTAAAATAATTAAAGGGTACAATACACATGCATCAAAAGTTACCAAACAAAAAAGAATAGATTTAATTTTAAATCAAAAACTATTGAAGTTTCCTATACATAGTAAATCACACCTAATAAACCTAATAAAAAATATCTATAAATAAGTTTACAAAATATAAGAATATAATTATATTATAGCAATAATAAACTATAAGATAGTTTAAATTTTTTGTTAAATTTATACATGTTAAAGCACAAAACCAATTAGATAATTGAATCATAATAAGATAAAGAAATCTATGTAACGAAATTAATAGTAATAAATTGCACGTATTTCTTTATAAGAAATTTAAGGATGAAATAGTAGAAAATAAGGTATATTATAAATAAATCGTCAGTTTTAATGTTTGTATTTTTTGGCATTTAGCCCTACTAATGATAGCTTCACTATATTTTTTTAGTTAAAAAATATCTATAAATAAGTTTACAAAAGATAGGAATATAATTTTTAAAATTATAATTATATTATAGTAATAATAAACTAGAAGATAGTTTAAATTATTTGTTAAATTTATACATGTTAAAGCACAAATTCAATTAGATAATTGAAGCATAAATAAGATAAAGAAATTTATATAACTAAATTAATAGTAATAAATTGCACGTATTTCTTTATAAGAAATTTAAGGATGAAATTGTAGAAAATAAGGTATATTATAAATAAGTCTTCAGTTTTAATGTTTTTATTTTTTGGCATTTAGCCCTACTAATGATAGCTTCACTATATTTTTTTTTATATTAAACTATTTGTCGTAAATATTAACTCAACCGCAATTATTTTTTAAACTTTGTAATTTCAAGTTCATAACTACTGAAGTCTCCTATACATCGTAAATCAAACCTATAAATATATTAGGACGAGTAAAAAATATTATATTTAACTAAGTTTACAAATGACAAGATTATATTTGAAAATAATATAATTATATTAATAATAGTTATAGTGTACTTTAAAAATTTTGTAGAGCTTTTACACGTTAAAGCACAAACCCAATCAAATAAGTGAGGCATAATAAGATACTGAAATATATCAGAATTATACTAATAAATCGTATATATTTTTATAAAAAAATTAAGGATGAAATAATTAGAAAAATATGTATTGCAAAAATAATAAGTTGTCATTTTTTTTCTTGTATTTAGTCCAAAAAATGACCATGCCTCAGTACATTTTTTTTATAGTAAATTTTTTATTATAAGATATTAATTCAACTATGGCCATTTTTAAGACTTTACAATATTAATTTTTGGGAAGCTATATTCTTTTTTGTGTTTTGTTTTTCTATATTAGGCCACCAAAACAGCAATAATTCTCATAAGACCACATACGTCCTCATAAATCACAATAAAGCATCTAAAACTTATGTCGAACATGATTTTTTTATTTATTGAGCTAACTAAATGGGAACAACATTCAAGTTTTTAAAAATTTCTTTAACTTTTATTAGACAAATACATAGTTTGATAATATTTACGTAATTTTTAAAAAATTACACTCATTAATATAGATATACGCGCAATGCGCGTATAATAAATCTAGTCTTAATAAAAACAAATGAGGCCTAAGTTACTAACTGAAGATTGATAAGATTCATTTGGTTTTTTTTTTACATATTTAAGAGTGGTTAAAGATTAAGCGAATATAAGGGTCCTTAGCTCAGTGGTAGAGCATTTGACTGCAGATCAAGAGGTCACCGGTTCGAACCCGGTAGGGCCCTTTTCTTTTTTATGTTTTCCAATTCCTTATTTTCTGTAATTATATTTTTACTTTAAAAGAGATAAAAATAAATTTTGGCCATTGTTAAATTCAAAGTTATAATTCATAAGTCTGCATAAGTCTTTAATCTTCTTTTCCCGTATAGGGTTCTCCATTCGGATCCTTTTTCTCAAATCTCCCCTTTATAAGATGCATATGGTTAAAAAAATAATAACTTGTTTGAATAAAAAGATCAAATAACCAAAGTTACATTGAAATCACAAGAAGACTTAAAAAAGAAAAGTAAATTTTATTTCCCTACGATAATAGCACGGCCACGTCCTTGCATCATATATTGTATAGTCAAACCTCTCTATAATAATCTCGCTTGTTTCAGATATTTTTGGCTGCTATAGTGAAGTGTTGTTATAGAAAACATATATTATAATCTAACTTGAAAAACTGGTTCCAAAAAGAAACTTGATTGTTATAGTGAAGTATTATTATAGCACTACTGAAAAAACATGATTTAGCAACGGACGAATTCTGTAGCTACAACAAAATCCGTTGCTAATCCTATTTAGTGAATATTATCAAAAAATTCTATTAGCTATGAGCGATTTAGCTACAAATTAGCAACGACGTTAAGAGCTAATTCTAGTATATTTAGTAGTGAGAGGATAATTATTATAGAGGAATTTGATTATATAAATATACAGTTGTAATTTTGAAAGTTACACTTTTTAGTCTATTTTTATTTAATACAAAAGAGTATATATTCTTTTTTTCCTTGATAGCATTCTCAAAAAAAAGATGCAATATTACACCATTCAAACCAAAATAGGAAAAAGAAGTCATCAATCACTAGAGATGTCCTTCAATACAACTTTTTTAATATCCTTTAGTACACTTCTATATCTATCAAACCACATCTTAGTCAATCTGCGCGGTTGACTTTCTAGTAATAATTTCGGGAGTTTCTTAAAGATTATGACCTAAATCAGATCGATTCTTTTTTGAATCTCTATTCGTTCAATTCCCTCGACGCCAAAGAACGTTTTAATCTCCTGCATGAGTGGGCAATTCATTTCTCAAAGGCATTGCATGTTTCTCAAAATCCACAACCACATTATGATCATCATCTTGAGAATTATTATACTCTTTGAAATGAGCAATTCTTCCCAATTCTTCAACTTCTTCAATAACAAGATCAAGCCTTGCAACAATTTCAACTAATAAAGCAGCAAATGCAGCAAATGGCAAAGCATCCGAAAATTCAAGACTAGTAATAGCAATCTTACTCAATGTAGGCCTCAAAGATTTTCTCTCATTATTTTCATTTGTGCTACCCCTTTTGGATTTCCACTCGAGCAACGCGGACGTATCGGTCTTTACGCTCGATAAAGTGACTCTCCGGGAGTTCAGTGCACCTGACTGTATGCCGATTGTTGCTAGGGCTAACTTGTTGGAATTATTTTTGGACCCAATGAAGAGTTTTGGTTGGGATTTTATGGCATTGTCTAGGTCTTGTAAAGCTTCGTGGAGGTGATCGGATAGTATTTCTGGTGAACATTGACGACGATATCTTATACTATCTCCTAATTCTTTTAAAGCTTTTGTAACTTCTCCAGCTAGTCTGATACATGGATCTTTGAACATTGCTCGAACCGATCGAGGCGTCTGAACAAATATTCAAGTAAGAGTATAAGTATTATGCATCCGTAGAAATAATATTTAGAAAATTAGGTCATATAAGTATTCGTTGGTAATAAATAAAAATGATACTATTAACATGTTATTATAAGTTATTGCTCCGTACACTGGTCGTGAAAAAAAAAAGAATTTTACGCGTAGAGGAAGAAAAAATTGAAGAATTAACTAGAATAACCGTCCAGTCAACCTCTTGGACTAAAAATAACTGGGACGATGCATAATATATGTATAATTAATATGTGCAGGACCGTTATATAGTCAGTATATAGTTTATGTATAACGATTAGGAAAATTAAACAGTAAATCTGATCGGCTATTTGCGTAAAGATCCCAAGAAAATTGTACCTGAATTTCAGTTTGGAGACATCCATGTAGAGCTACAATTGTGTATCCAAAATGGCGAAGAACATTCCCCAATTTAACATACTTAACATCGAATTAGGCCTCAAGACCCATGATTTCCTTCCAATTTCCATGAAACATCAAATTTTACTGCTTCTAGCTCAAAACACGTCAAATGACGTCCAAATTTAACCAAACTTTACCGCAATTGTTTAGACCACATATAGTTGCTGCTGCCCAAAGGTGCTTTATGAAAGCCGGTCCACAGCAGTGAAAGTACGATTGATTCCGTCGATCGAACGAAAACAGCTTCTTGCTTTTTTTTCCTCTCTGGCTTGACTACTCTGCTTGCTTAACACAAGTCTTATTTAACCTTCACGGACCACTTCACTACCCAGCAAGCTCCGGCTCGAAAGCAAGAAGCAAGGGCGCAGCAGCTGCGCGAAGTTGCGCCTTAGCGCATCCGTTTTCTTGCTCGTTAGCGCTGTTTTTTGATTGCAGCTAGCGAGCAAGACTAATAAGATAGAAAGGGCCTTTCTCGCTTGTAACACTTGTACCGGGCGTCGGAACCAAAATACGAGCCCGATACCACAGTCTTTTCAAAAAATTTCACCTNTTGCTCGAACCGATCGAGGCGTCTGAACAAATATTCAAGTAAGAGTATAAGTATTATGCATCCGTAGAAATAATATTTAGAAAATTAGGTCATATAAGTATTCGTTGGTAATAAATAAAAATGATACTATTAACATGTTATTATAAGTTATTGCTCCGTACACTGGTCGTGAAAAAAAAAAGAATTTTACGCGTAGAGGAAGAAAAAATTGAAGAATTAACTAGAATAACCGTCCAGTCAACCTCTTGGACTAAAAATAACTGGGACGATGCATAATATATGTATAATTAATATGTGCAGGACCGTTATATAGTCAGTATATAGTTTATGTATAACGATTAGGAAAATTAAACAGTAAATCTGATCGGCTATTTGCGTAAAGATCCCAAGAAAATTGTACCTGAATTTCAGTTTGGAGACATCCATGTAGAGCTACAATTGTGTATCCAAAATGGCGAAGAACATTCCCCAATTTAACATACTGCTGCCATGGAAATCTGTAACAGTGTCTTGAATGCCTTGGCTCCCAACTTGCATATAATGCCTGATGTTCCAGTCAGATTAATTTTGGTTATACATAGATAGTGGCGTACACAAAATTTTGTATTAAATAGTATCCATTTATATTATCACATTTCAACAAGTATATTAATTTGGCACAAATGGATTGTGAAAGCCTCCGTCATGCTAAGAATAGGGGGTTTAGGAAGAATACGGGCTTTGTTTCGGGGTTTTCAGGTGTCGAACTCTTTTATCTTTTGCCGAGTTCCTTCGACATGGTTCTCTCAAGCGCCCTAGTATACTCTACTTGTTCACCTGTGTCGGTTTGGGGTACGGTCAGTAGCCTAGATAGAATGAATTGTAGGCAATTGGTTTGATTTGGCCCATCTTTCTTTCCTCCATGAGAAAACACTGCTCAGTGAGACAATGTAGTCAAGTCAATAGCAGCCAGAGCAAAAGATTGTCATTTCCGGAAAGTGCACGGACAGCCGCCATTTCCCCCTTTCACAATGTTCTTGATTCGATTCTGACTTTCTAGAGGCAGTGTTGTTGTTGCTTGCGCGAAGGGCCGTCCCCCACTCCCTTCCGGAACTAATATGTAGGTTTCACAGGTTCCTGTAGAAACAGCCTCTTGCAGAAATGCAGGGTAAGGCTGCCCCTGCCTTGAGAAGGTCGAGAGGTTGTTTATGATAGACCCTCAGTTCAAAAAAAGATGGAAACAAGTAGTAGCAGCAAGTAATAATACTAGCAAGATAACAAGAAAACCGAAGCGAAAAAAATAGCAACAAGATAATACGAAAACTGAAGCGAAAGAATCGGTTGGTAGTAATAGACATCAAAAAATAAGAAAATACAAGACAATCCATTATATATATATATATATATATATATATATATATATATATATATATAT